AGCAGGACTTTCATGTGTGTTCTCATGACTTTTCCCATCCAATTTCCCGCCTAAAAGGCATTAAAAGTGTAAAAGTGGAGACTTTGGAGAGATGATGACGAGACCCAAGGAAAACACAGTTGAAGTATAATGGGAAGTTATTCCTGGTGAAGTTGGATGGATGTTTGGTGGGTTCAAAGACTGGCACTATCTCAGCCCTCATCGCCTTGTCATTTAGTGAGTACTGTGGTCATTATGTGAACCCATGTATTCCTATGAATGCCAATAGAGAAATCAGCAAAAAACCAACGTGGAGATATTGGATTCTTTGGAAGACAGTCAACATTATTCCCACCCCACCCTCGATCTTTAGTTCAAACTTTTTATTATCCCTCAATTTAAATCCAGAATCAGTGGGAGGTTTAGAATGTGGGAACACAAAGTGTGACTGAAACCTAGTTACCCAATTCTGAGAATGTTCACACAAAATCTAAGCAGTCATGAAGAATTAAACTCCACTCACTTGTGCACGGAATCACCAAAACCCGCCCAACAGAAGTTTGCATATCTTGTTCTCTGTGCTGAAGAGGGGTGAGACAAGGAAGCCCCCTTTATTACAAAACTCATTACTAAGTCATGCCTACTGCTGACCAATTGTTTAGTTACTAAATGTCTGGCTCTTCATGACCCCATAGTACACCAGGCTCATTTTTCACTGCCTTTTGGAGTTTGCCCAAATTCATGTTCATTGTGTCAATGACACTAACATCCTCTTTGCCTTCAATCTTTTCCAACATTAAGGTTTTTCCCAGTGACTCCACTCTTCTCATTTGGTGGCCAAAATACTTGAGCTTGTTTCACTATTTGTCCTTCCAAAGAAGGCTGATTTTCTTTAGAATTGACTTGTTTGATCATCTTGCAGTCCAAGGGACTCTTAAGTATCTTTTCCAGAACTACAATTCAAAAGCATCAATTCTTCAGGGCTCCACCTTCTCTGTGGTCCAAGTCTCACAACCATACATTACTACTGAGAAAACCAGTGTATGTATACATATTTTGTCAACAAGGCTGTTTTTAATTTTATGGCTGCAGTCACCATCTGCAGGGATCTTGGCACCCATGAAAATAAAATTGGTCATTATCATTTCTTTCCCTTCTAGTTGCAAGGAAGTGATGGGACAGGATGCCATGATCTTAAGCTTTTTTAATGTTGAGTTTCAAGCCAATTTTTGCATTCTCCTTTCACTCTCATCAGGAGGCTCTTTAATTCCTCTTCCTTTTCTGACATTCTTAAGGAAGAACCACTGACAAGCTCTTTTGCAATATGATACAGGCTCTTTTTCTTTTGTATGTGTTGACAGTTGCGGGTTGATATTTTTTACAAGAATGGAGTCTGAATCTGTAAAATGTCCTTCTTTCCAAAATATGCCTGGTTTAGGAAACCACTAATCTTTATAATGGTTTTGACAACATGTGATCCATACTAGGGAGTCAAGAACCACATTTTTTTTGAATTACTGGAAGCATGCTACTTGTATCATAGCCCCATACCTCATCTGCAAAGCTGGTCACTAGCCCAGATTTATTTTCATGGGTGTGACTCACTTAACTGCCTTGCTTAGCAACATAAATTCTTGACTACCTATAAAGGAATTAACTACAGAGGAATTATCAGTTCTACAGAGGAATTATTGAGTCTGTCATCTGCACCTCTATAACAGTCTGGTTTGGTTCTGCAACCCAACAAGACAGATACATACTTCAGAGGATAATTAGGACTGCAGAAAAAAAACCAATACTAATCTGCCTTCAATCGAGGACTTGTATGTGAAAATATTTACAGACCCCTCACATCCCGGACATATAAACTATTTCAACTCCTATCCTGAAAATGATGCTATAGAGCACTGCACACCAGAACTAGACACAAGTTTTCCCCCCTGAATGCAAACTTTGCTAAACAATTCCCTCAACACTGTCCAACTATTACAAAGTCTGCATTACTATTACTATTAATCTTTTGATCACTCCTTATCACCCATCCTCTCCCACTTTTGACTGTATGACTGTAACTTTGTCGCTTGTATCCTTACAATTTATATTGACTGTTTCCTAGTATGATTTGATTGCTTATTGTACCCCATGACTATTAAGTGTTGTACATGATGATTCTTGACTCTTTGAATGAATGCATCTTTTTTTAATGTACACTGAAAGCACCTGCACCAAGAAAAATTCCTTGTGTCCAATCATACTTGGCCAATAAAGAATTCTATTCTATTCTAAAAAAAATGCCTTGTACTTGCAAAGAAACCTCTTCCAGAGATGGAATAGCTTTGAATTATCCATTGAAACCTAAAATAGTTTTCATGCTTCAATTTAAATCAGGGGTCTCCAACCTTGCAACTTTAAGATTTGCAGACTTCAACTCCCAGAGCTGAAGTCTCAGCAAAGCTGGCTGAGGAATTCTGGGAGTTGAAGTCCACAAGTCTTAAACTTGGCTAAGTTTGGAGACCCCTGATTTAAAGGATATGCAGTAAATGGGTGTGCTCCATTAACAAAGTAAAAACATACACACGTTATAAATAAACCAATTATGTCTCCCATTCAAATAAAAAAAAATGCATGTGAAAGCCTGAGGTAAATGCTCTTTGCATCCGAGCAAAAAGTGGGCAAACAGCACCCTCTGAAGTCCTAACACAAAAATGCAAAGCCAAAACAAAGGTAAAAAGCAGGCATACAGGTCTTCAGGATTTATCTTAATTGCATAATTCATATTGGGGCAGCATCAAGCTAAGATATAAGTCCGTTTTTGAATTCAGCAGCTCTTTAAGATAAAGCCAGAAAAGAAACCCCACTGAACTTTGTCTGATGCAAGAGGTACACACTTATGTAACTAAATCTATTTAAATATATCCTTGTGAATGTAATTATTTAAAAATTTTCTCTACAAAGTACCTACATGCATGAATCATTTACTTTGTTCCCACGTCTGAACAGCCAACATTTTTGCCATGGTTGAGTTAATCATACAGTAATTAAGCAAAGTTAGCCAAAGGCAAACTCAAAAATTTTTCAGATATTTTCGAAGTCGTAAATTATCTCTAAATCCTACCTTTTCTAAGGAAAAATGACTTTTTAATTTCAAATCCCAGCCAGTCCTGGAATTCTGAGACTTGGAAGTACACACATTTTAAAAATTGCTGAGAAGTATCACATTATGCGAGCTTTAACCATTTATGTAAATGTTGACAGATGAATCTTGACCTACACCTTGAGGGCTGAAATCTTATGAAGGAGAGCTAAATTTTCTAGAATACATTTAAATAACACCTACTTACAAACAAGATGGTAATTTTGAAGCAATAAAGTTAATTGTGATCAGCGATCAGAGAAGGAAACTTTTCAGCTGTCTAACCTGATGTCAAAACTCTTCCAAAGGCATAAAGTGTGGTGGAAATGTGCAGTAATATAAACCTTTTTCTGAACCCGAGAAAACCCTCTTGAAGGAGCAAAAACCCACCAGAAATGGTGCAGTACTTTCGTCTGAAAAAGATCCCTGGATTTGCAAAGAATAAGACAGCCAACAGCCAAGAGAGAAGACAATTGGGTCTTTGTGTCCTAGGAAGATCACAAATTTGATGTCTCTGGATAACTGAAAATTAAGTTGTGTTGCTGCGCAGGTTTCTGTATACTGTATTATTAAACCACTTCTACCCATCAAAAAGCAGGGTATAAAATTTAAATTGTATAAAGGGAAAGCTAATGATACTGTTGACTATCTTACAGCTGCTTTAGAATTGTAGAAACTAAAGTTTCCTGCTTCACTAAGGATGCATTTAACTGCATTCAGTAAGGCTACATTTAACTCAGCCCAATGATTAGCTCATCCTCTAATCCAGGGGTTCCCCAACCCCTCCCTCCCACCAACAGCAGGCTGTAGCATGCCAGAAACCAGACCACGCAAACAAGTGAAGCCCCATCTGCAGGATGCAGGCAGCCCATGAAACCATGCTCCTCCAGTCTGTGGAAAAACCTTTCTCCACTGATCTCTGCTACCCACTGTTGGCAGCCACTGCTATAATCCACTGATTGCATTGGATGCATGTATGTAAAAACAGATCTTATTTTGTCAGCTTCCTTGTGAACATGAATGGCAATTAAGCTCCAATCCTCCTCATACCCAGAGGGCTGGTTACAGCAAAGTCTCAGCAATATTACCCAATGCAGCATCTCAGACCAGTGCAAAGAACGGGCACGCATGTTCCTCCAGGAACACAAATAGCCCATACTTTGGGTATCTGCCATGCATAATGTTGCAGTCTGGCTCATACACATCAGGAGAAAAAAAAATTCTCAAGGCACCTGGGCAGACTAACATCTGTCTGTAAGCTACCCAGTCATTTATTAGATGGGCAGCTGTATAAATTGGAATAAATATATCTTCCAACCTTGACTACCATTGATTTACATCAGGACACCATTCCAGCTTAATATGCAAATGCTGTCATTTCAACATTCCCTCCTGCAAAGTTCTCGGTTACTAGTTATGTTATGTTTTATCAGTTGTGTAACCAAGAGCTCATCTTATCAGAGATTCAGATGCTGAACTGGCACCAGATTCTAGCTCACTTTCTTCAGCAGCTGAATGGATGACTGGGCCAATCATTCTCAGTCCAACCTATAACACTGGGGGGAAATGAGAGAAAGCACTGTGTATGGTGTCTTGAGCTCTTGGATGAAAAAGATATCTAATAAATATAAGAAATGTGGGATCATAGCTTAAATATCAGCCTACTTTTACTCAATTGTTCCACGGTTCTGTTACTTGATGTCATACAGTAGGGATACTACAGTACAAATTGTCCTACCAAGATACATCCTTTGTTAACTATCCCAACAAACTACAGCCCCTGCTCATATGGAGCCAGTTATAAATGCATGAACTGAGAACCTGCCTCAGCAGAGAAAAAAAAAACCTGAGTTTGTTTTCCATTGAAAACTTACACCATTTAATGTTGTTATAGTACAAATAAAAGTATTTATTGAGTATCAACTCCATTTAATTCAAATTAATTTCCAGTCACTCAACATGCTGCTCATTAGTATCACATGGCAGTTGAGAATCTGTTAAAAGAAAAAAAAATGTTCAGAATGAGTTTAAGGTAGCAGAAATGAATAAAAACCCTAAACGCTTTCCACCAACAACTTAAGTGCCCAATTCCCATATGCATGGCTTGTTCTATCAGTTTGTTGAACTACCCACACCAGTTTGTTCACATATCAAGATAAAGTAAGGATAGTACTGTTGGAAGAAATATCCTTCTGGGTTCAGTTCTAAGTGGGGAAAAAGACACTGGAAACATGGAGGCTACTTGGAAAGATGGTTTAATGGTGGACAGCAGGACCACACAGCTTGAAGCTCCACAGTGAAAAGGATGATCACATGGTTCAAGGTGAGAAGGTCAAGAAGGGCCGATATGCTGAGGCTGCCTGGGTTTTATAACCTTTGCTGGAATTTAAATTGGAACTTGTATTCCGATTGGTTGTCAGACCCCCATGGGGCCATGCAGGGGCAACTCTGTAGGCTGTCCTTGGTTGAGCCTTGCTGGATGATGATGCACTGAAAGGGCTTTGGGCAATTGCCATAGTTTTACCTGGAGATCTTTGTTATGCAAGGTATTCTGGCCCAGGCCTTAACAGCCCACCCATTAACAAAGGTGGAGGTGAGCTTCTACTTTTGAGGTGAGTTTCTGCTTCTGAGTTTCTACTCTTTTTAGAGGATATATTCTGCCTTTTTAATATTTCCCAGGATATTTCATTTTTCTAGGAGAGGGGTGGGTGCTTACTTCCTACAGTACAAGATTGTATAGCTAAATGTCAGCCCAGGTTATGTGTGGTGCTAGAGTTGATTATGACCACTAAAAGCACCATTATCTGTATCAAATGAGATATGGTAGCCCATCATACATACAGGGGATACTTTAAAGATACAATGTATACTGTTCCAAAGTAATTCTACAGAAAAGGTAGGAATCCACACATTTGTATGCTAAGTAAAACAAACCTTTCTGGACTAGCAATCCCAGAAAAATGTAATGCAGCTTCTTTCATCACCAGTGCTTCAAGCCAAGTACCACTCTCCTGAAAAATAGTAAGCCACATGAATGAAGATTTACATCTGGCTTCTGGCTTCAAATATAAAATGTACAACATTAAGACCTGAACATCAGTGGAATCAGGCTATTTGGCTAGAATACATGCTTGATCAGCAGAGTCGATATGATGGGGAAAAAAGGAATAGTCATCATGTACCACTGAGCTAAATGTTTTGCAGTCCCCTTTGTCTTAAGAGTATACTTGACTTCAAAGCACGCTTGATAGGAGACAATCACATAGAATAACTATTTTTTCATCCTTTCAATTATATAGTCTGATTAAGTTCTATGGCAGTTTTTAAAAGTACACAAATCTGGCAACTGCAGTCAAGCTCCTAGATCAAAGTAACACAATTTTATAATTGAAGTTATTTTACATGCAACACTGCACCACAGTTTAGCATATGAGTCCCAGGCTCATTAACTTTACTTTTTCTTCTGAGTAAATGAAAGCTTTGTTTGAATGCCCAACAGTTCCTACCAGGTGCAAGCTTACACAAATGCTAAGCAGTTTAAATCATGAGTGGGAAACTTCCCAGTACTGCCCATACTGACTGTAGCTAATGAGTAAAAGCCTAACATCTGGAACACATCACATTGCCAAACAATGGGCAGTTCAAGCAAGCCACAACCAAACCATGGCTTATATCTTTTTCCATTCACTGATACAGTTCTCGGCAGAGAACTAAGGAAATGTTGAATAATGATGCATTTTCAGTCAATTTACAACAAATGTGTGCACCTTAGTCAGCTTTATGAACCAATTTTATCAACTAGAATTTCCAAGTTCTTTCCACCCACATTTTCTCAAAGTGCATTCATCCAACTTGAAGCTTTAAATATCTGTCATTTTTTAAACACTCCCCCCCCCCCCAAAAAAAAAGTAATGTAGCCTTTCCAAAACCTTTAAAACAAGGTTGACCAAATAATTAATATACTGCACATTTTAGAGTCTTTATCTGTGAAGTTGTGTTCTCCCAGGAGGGTCCCGGGAAAGACAGAATTTGCTCCTCCAGGGTATTCTATGGTACAGTCTCCAACAAAGTCATTATATAGGGAAATGCAAAGCATTCAATTCCAAAGAACTCCAAAATGCTATTTCCTCTAGGAGCAGGTCAACATCACCATTCTAGTTTGAAAATTGTTCTAAAACTAAATTGTCTTGAAAATCACCAATCAGAACAGAAATGCCCAGGAGGGAAATGTAACATTTTAGAGTCCTTCTGCATGTTCCAGTATCCTGAAACAGGATACTGAGATTACTTTTAATAAGTACATAATAACTTAAGACATTCTTACCTCTATATTTACTGGATGCACTTGAAACAAACAGCTCAATTTTTCTTAGGTTTACATGACTCCTCTTTTTCATCCATCTAGTGCAAGAATTCTGTTATTTCATTGATTCTTTTGAATCCTAAAATGGCACAGAAGACCCATTAGTTACATTATAGGCTGTCTTCCTGGGGTAAAATAAACAGGTACACCCCAGCTGATGTATCAGACAAAGGACTGGCTAATACAGTAAGATCAACAGTATCGCTCTGATGGGGAAAAAAGCTTCAGTCATCATACACATCAGCTCTAAAGGCACATTAGAGAAGGGAATATCCCCAGGGTATTTGCAACCATAACTGTAGTTTCCTTGTCTCAAAGTTTCCCCCCTATTTGCTAATCTAGCCTTCACAAAGAAATGAAATGTAAGAAACAATTTACGGGTAGCTTATTTTTAATTAAAATAGTTATCTACCAATGCATTCTATTTTCCAGATCGCTTTTGAAAAGAATTCCTATGGAAATTTCAGCAACCCAAAATGTAAAAATTAACGTTATCTCTAAAGTACTTGGCAGTGCATGCCTCCATGCCATCCACCTACTGAATGGTTTAGGGCCATTCTTCACATCAGTGTTTCACAACCGTGGCAACTTTAAGATGCATGGGCTTCAATTCTCAAAAATTCCTAAGCCAACTTTTCAAGACTGCAGGGCTGAGTATAGGCAGTGGCCAGGAGTCAACAATTCCCATGTGGATCGTTCGCCCTTCACTGGTATAAGATGGTAACATGTTTCTGCATCCAACTAAAAATAAGCATAAGAAACTCACATGTCCCTTTTTTAAAAAAATGTTCACCACAGAACCCATAATGGCAGTTTAGGTGATTCCACATCTTTCAACTTGGAGAGTTTTGCAAGAGCTTTCACCTTTCATCCTTCACTGAGTTCTTTTCTTGCCTGAAACAGGAAGAGATCCAAGACAGAAGCATTATTCCACATCCTAGCGAAAGCAAAGTGTTATCAATTCCCAGCCAGCCCCCTTCTTCCTCCCCACGGTACAATTGGTGCAGTCAGACGAGTTCTGGCTAATAACAAAGAATTCAACATTTCCGCTCAGATGGGGAAAAAAGTCTCAAGTCATCACGAGCACCAAATTAAACCTTCAAGCGCTTAAGATCGCAGCCTGGGAAGAAGAGTACCGGGAAAGAACGAGGCAAGGGGAAAGACTCCTGAATCCATTTTGCATAATCTTAAAGTAAAGTAAACCGGGATAATTTGGGGAGAAAAAAAAGAAAAGGAGAGAGGAGAAATCGGTGAGGCAATCTAAAATCTCGCGAACAACGAACAACGTGGCAGATGGCGGCGGATTGCCAAGCTCCACGGACGACTCACCTACTCAGCCTCGAAGCATCCCCAAAAAAGAACGCGTGCGTCCGTGTCGCGTCTTTATATATACACTAGAGCAGCTTGGTGCGCATGTCTGTCCCAAAGCATTTTGGGAAATGTAGTTTCTCAAAGGCCCTGGTGTACGGTTAACACTTCCGTGCTTTTGTTTGAGAGGTAGCTGGTTGTTATGGGAGGGGACAAATCCCGCTTGAAGGATTTAAATTTTAGAGCAGCGCTTTCGCTTTGCAACTTTGGTTTGTAGGTGCCCCTATTGCGTTATACTGCGTGGTTTAATCATGCTGGAATACAGCATTGGTGTGAATCGTTGGAATGGCAAGGGGCAAACACGGTTTAGATAAAACGCGGCAAATACGTAAGGATTTGTTCTGCCTGAAAGCTCAGTCGCGTTCGTTTACTCAAGAATATTTCTCGAAGTTCAATAGAAAACATACCTTTAGTAAGGAACACAGACTTTATGGGATAGCGTATCGTTTATTGTTAGGGTTATCCTATTGTTTTTGCACAGTCAAAAAGAGAAAGAGTAGAGAAATAGAGAAAGACATTAAATTAATTCAAGGGCAATAGGTTTAATGGGCTGTGAGTCCAGTATAAATCTTGTTTACTTGTCAGAGCAATCACAATCCTACTGCATACCAAAGTACTCATAAAAATTAAAATCTTATAATACATAAGCATTTTTCTTTTTAAAAAAAAAACCCCAAACACTGCTCGTGTGAAGTTCTTTATTCTGTTCTACATTTTAAGAAAGGTAATGAAAACTAAGTCCTTCCTGAAGTCCCCAGAAAAAGTTGAATGGGAAACACTCAAAGGAGCAGGGTAGGAAGCAGCATGCTTTGAAATGAATGATTAAAGCAGCGTTTCTTAACTCTGCGGTTGGCTGGGGAATTCTGGGAGTTGGAGTTTGCACGTTAAAAGTTGCTGAGATTTGAGAAACACTGGGTTAAGATGTTGGACCAGGATGGGAGACCCAGATTGTAGTCCATCCTAAGCAACAGATCTTTGCTTAGGAGATCCTGCAAGGCATTGTACGAGGCGTTTATCAATTTAAAAAAGGGGTTTTAGGGTTATTGTGCTAGCAAATCTGTGATTGAATTTCATGAAGCTCTTAACCATGAACTGAAAGCTAGAAAAATCAGTGATGCTGGGACTCAAGTCTTTATTAAAGGCAGAATGCTTCATGGTTATGGAAGCAAGTAATAACACTACGCTTTCATATTTGCAGATCCCAACCAATATAGATTGTACTGTCCTCCCAATAGGGCATGGGTGCCAAATTCATTGCGTCATGTTACCGTTACGTGACATTTCACATTTTTTCCCTTCATGGAGCTGGGGTGGGCGTGGCCTGCATGAGATGCATCCGGCCCATGGGCCGCCAGTTTAACACCCCTGCAATAGGGGCATCTTCCAGACTTGTATCTTGCTTAACTAGAGACATGGAAGTGTAGTTGAAGATCTCATCCGTAGCAAAGATCCAAAGCATTAATCCAATATCCAGCATAGTAGTGAATAAATTGAGGGACTAAAAGGAGACTCAAATTCAAGTCTACCCTCACGAATGGTGGTACTGGATGATTTTGAGCCTAACCTTTTCACAGGATTATTTTTGTGGATAGATGTTTGGAACATGGACAGCTATAGGTAGGTAGGTAGGTAGGTAGGTAGGTAGGTAGGTAGGTAGGAAGGAAGGAAGGAAGGAAGGAAGGAAGGAAGGAAGGAAGGAAGGAAGGAAGGAAGGAAGTCTTAGCGCAGATTCAGATCAACTAACTCAACCATTGCATCCATTTTGCTTGGAAAGGGTTTGAGAAAAGCAAAGTAATTATAAATGTGGTATCTAGTCTTTCAACTCTTTATTCAATCTCTGTGAATAAAAGGATGGCATCGAACAATGATACACCAACTTATTGTACTTAACTTGTATTGCTCCCACTGATTTCTACCTGAACTATTTAATACTCCCAGGGGAATGTGCTGTTATTAGCATGATTTATGGCAGGGCTTCTCTACTTTACAGTAGCTCACAGGTTGAACAGATTATATTGTTATTGTAGCTAGTCATAGTTTCCAGCTGGGCCAGTGTTGCAAAATATTAACCTAAAATTTAATTGAAGACAACAGACTTCATTTGGAAGGGGGAGGTGGTCTGAACAGAAAGGATTTATGTAGATTAAGGCCTATGAAGTTGTTTTTCTTCAGGGAACATTGCACAGTTCCAGTATCAGTGGGCAGAATGGAGTCACCTTATTAATTATATTTAATTTTAACAAAAACATGTAACTTTTAGTTTTTGTCCTGGCTTCAGCCATTGTTTGGCATGCTGCTTCTTGCCCATCCCCAAAGTTGTGCACCCCTAGTCTTAGTGTTAATCAAGATGATCCCAAATAAGCAACAATCTCAGGGCTTCCACTCGGTTCATATTTTGGAAGTTTACCTCTAAGAGAATTATTTTTAGGAAAGTTTGTGTGTGCGCGTGTGTATATATTATATATATAAAAGCCATGCTGAGTATTTACAAAGACACACACACACACACACACACTTTGAGTAAATTGTTTAATGACTTCCCAATCAGTTATGAATTTATTAGTCTTAAATTTTCACTCATTATTCAAAACCTGCTGCAGTTAAAAACAAAAGTACTATGAAATTGCTGTTTAATAAAAAACAATTTCCCCTGTTTTTTTAGTATTTACCATTTATTGGACAAACACTACGTTTTACTTACATTCCATGGGGAGAAAAAATTCCAGCGTAAACAATGAACTGAAGCAGTACTTAACTTGCAATGCTATCGTGCTTTACCTGGACCATATGCAAAAACTTTATTGCCCACATTACTGTGGGCAATAAACACAACATCAAAAGCAACACAGTTTATATATAAACATAGGTAATTTTTTTCAGCCCTACATGGATATGTAATTAAACAGTATAAAGCACTCAGGAAAATCAATCTGCAGCTTTATATGCACTACATTGAGATCATATCCTGTATTGTACTGAGTTGGTGTGCCTTTATATACAGACACACACACACTTTTTTTAAAAACAAAGATTAGCGACCATTTAAGCTTCTGTTGCATTCAGGTTTCCCTCCCTCTTCCCTACCCATCAAAAATATTCTAAAATCAAAGTGATCAAATAAAAGTTTAAAATTCTAAAATGTATAATTATTTCTTCAATTGAGATTTAGGCGAGGTTCACCTTACTCGTTGATAATCAAATGGTAGGCACACCTTTTCCAGTGAAATTATTAAAAATCATTAAAAAAAAAAAAACTTAACACATACATGGATATGATCTTCCCAAGTTAGTTCATAGATAAGTGTGTCAGACAATCAAGTTTCTAAACTGTGCTATAGTTCTAGGTACAATTAAGAAACTTTTAAATGAAAAATTTATAGTGTCATTCAAAACAATGCAATGAAACTAAAAATTTTATCACTGTTTGAAAAGCAACGGTTATGATTTAGACACTACAGTGGGTTGTAACAACTGTAGCACTCTAAAACAGTTAGGTTACATTATTAGGAAGCATTTGATTTTCTCTGGTGCTTTCAGGTTTGGGTCCAGTCAAGCCTGTTTAGGCAGTGGTGTCCAGTGTTTGTCCCAAAGTGTTTGAGCTAGCCGGTTTGAGGAGAGGGTCACTTTCCATTTCTTGCTTCACGCATCTGGGGTGGGGGGGAAAAAAACAATACCTCTTTTTAGAACAGAGCCCCGTTTTGAATTATAGAAGATTCAGTTTTTCAAGTTCATAGTAAGACCCACCTTTTCTCTCAGACAGCAAATTACTGCTATATGTTTGTCCATTTGCTTTAAGTGCACTGCCAACAACATAATTAAGTAACATCCGATAAGCAAAACCTATTCCAATGAAGCAATATAATCTACTTCATCCAAAGCTAAATGACAAGAGCAAAACCTTCAGGGAAAAATGAATGGCAGAATATTTTGCTGTAATCCAAAGTATGATCTCAGCAGTGACATTGTTTTAATTGGTGGGTTGTATGCTTTGTTCAATGAGCTGGGTGGCCATGTAAATTGCTTTAATTGAATAAATAATGCTGATGTACAAAAATAGGGACCACTTTGGTGGGAAGGTAACAGCGTTCCATGAGCCTTCGGTGTTTAGTCATGCCAGCCACATGACCACGGAGACGTCTTCGGACAGCACTGGGTCTTTGGCTTTGCAACAGAGATGAGCACCACCCCCTAGAGCCGGAAACGACTAGCATGTTTGTGTGAGGGGAACCTTTACCTTTACAATTTGGGACATAGATTTATTTATTTTTAATATTTACATCGCCTCCCATCTTCCAACTTACTCAGGGTGGCTTCCAATCAAAGTTAAAACATATAAAACTATATTAAAGCTATAAAATTAAACAGATACACATTTCTCATATCCAACCTCCATTATTTTGACTCTTCACATAAATACATTAAGGCAAATATTGATACAAAAATATTCCTAAAATAGTAAATAAAAATCAACAGTCCAGGTACTGCAGGATTATGGGAAATATTTTTCACTCACACAGACATTGGTCCATTTCCTGTTCTTGGCATCTCTGTACTTTGTTGGTCCAACTCAGACAGCAACTTTAAGATGTTTAATGCAGCCTGGAATAGGGAATTTTTAATTATAACTAATTAAAATTAGTTATATAAGAAGAGCAACTATTACTACATTTGATTAGAATTTTATTAGACAATGATACTGGATTTGTTGGGAATGCAAATAAAAATAGTTCCTCTGAAGGTACAGAATTAAAACATCCTTAAATTTTCCCACTGAAAGTTGGAAAGTATATTCTTGTAGAAAAATCTATTTTAGTTTAAACTGTCCAATACTATCTTTTCTCCTTTCTTAGAAACAGGATAAATAAATGCAAGTGACAACTGTTCTTTACTAACACAGTGTGAAAAGGGGAGGTATTGTACAAGAAGTACTTATGGTACTCTTACCATATCATGGCAAGATTCAACATCTTTTCCAATTCCATGACTGATCAGTGGTGGCTGAGAGGAACAATTTATAAGAGACACAAATTCATTCTTGTTGTTTTTGGGGAAATCTTTGTACTCCACCTACAAAGGAAAAATGATTATTTTCAATTGAGTCTCCCTGATTTTTTTTCCAGCAGAAATTCAAGAAATTCAGGCATATTAAGTCACTGTCATACTGAAAAGTAACAGCTGGGTTTTCTTTTAAACAAAAATCTATATTCAAATACAGTGCCAAAAAGTGGGGGGGGGGGGGGGGGGGGTGAGATGTTTAATTAATAACAACTAATAAGACATTGCAGGAGATGTGTGTTATGGTGGCAAAATAATCAATATTCATAGTAACAAGAAGCACACAATTTAAAAAAAATTAAGAAATCTGGTGAGTTCTCATGCAAAATCCCAGTCAAAATTGAGCTACCTCAACAGGTTTGATCCATGTAAAAAGTGTGTTTTAAATTTTTTAAATCTTAATAGGTCAATATGGAAGTTGTATGAGTTTTATAGCAACCATGGTGCTAGAGTGCCAGCCTACCAGACATGGTGCTAGACTGCTCAACCTTACAGCTGAGAATCTCAAATAACTGTAGTGATGTTATTAAAGACCCAGTCTACAAGCTGTTACAAAGTGGATAAAAGTATGAGTTTTATAATTCTATCTTTCTACTAAAGGTTTGTACCACATTAGGAGCACCCTAACAATGAAATCTTGCCTTGTAATCTTATCAAGATTAGCAAAAGCTGATTGGGAAAACTAATTCAAGATATAAATAGAAAAATTCAAGAATCTCTCAACTAACAAGTCTCCTTGGAAAAGTTTTATGAAAGACCTTGCTACAATAATCTTAATATAGATGGAGGCTGATCAACTGCAATGCTGACAAATGAGTTGGTAAAGAGATAGAGCAAAATAAGCAAAATAAAATATAACAAGATAAAGTAGCACAGGAATAGCCTCCACAGTCATCTATGCCAGGGGTCTCCAAACTTGGCAACTTTAAGCCTGGAGGACTTCAACTCCAGGTTTAAAGGTGCCAAGGTTGGAGACCCCTGATCGAGATTATAGGCCGAGATTACTCAGAAAAACTTCACAAACAGAGGTTGACCTAAACCCTCTTCCAAAACAGTTTGTTGCAAAATGAGTTGTTCAACTACCAAGCCCAACCCTACAGAGACGTATTGAAATAATCCACTTTTAGTTTACCTGGATTCCCTGAACACCAGAAAGGTAATCCAACTGTTCAGAGGGTCTCGTGAGAGGCCCATGGGGAACATGGCCCAAGGAACTGTTTTTTAAAATGGTTTCAGCAGTAGGAGAAGTGCCACCATATAATAGCTCTCTTGCAATCATGGCTGTCACTGTAGCCTTGGCAGGATTGGGGGCTGCTCTACTGAACTCTTTGGTGTGATGTCCTTGATTGACTCCTACAGCCTGTGCAACCTCAGGGACCATGGGAAGAATGCCAGCAGGAAGCTGCTGATGGCTGAGATAAGGCATCCTAAACTCATCCTCTTTATTACCTAATAAAGAGACAGAATACAAGAGTGGAGATTTAACAGGCAAATTTGCTTACCTGAAAATTGGCAGATCATTGAATATAAAGTCTGAAAAGATGTTGGAAATCAAATCCATTTTTCCCAAAACAAGAGTGAATAGTTCAGGGCTAATATCACTTTGAATGATTTTTAATGCTGGTCAAAAGACTAGAAGAAACTTACAAAATTAAGGAAAATGCATTTTCAGCATACAATGCAAGTAATCTGTCAAGTCCCCATTTTAAAAATCAGATTGTACAGAATTCAATTTTTAAATTTATAATGAATTCCCTATTAATTCAGTATATTCTTCAAAAAAACAACTTGATTTAAAATGAACCTGAATGAAGATTCATTTTTCATACTTTAAAGTTATGCTTTATGACCCACTTGGGGAGGGGGAGCAATTTTATAGCTTGTCCATATGTATTGTAGTCTGAGACTGAATTATTAACTGGAAAACCATCAAAAATGTTTGTTTGAGAAGCTGCCTATTTCTGATTAATATCTATTTAACTATCTGATCTCTGCGTTTATGTCATT